TTTTTTTTTTTTTGAGACAGAGTCTTGTGCTGTCACCAAGGCTGGAGGAGGGCAGTGGCATGATCTTAGCTCACTGCAACCTCTGCCTCCTGGGTTCAAGAGGTGCTTGTACCTCAGACTCCCAAGTAGCTGGAATTACAGGTGCCCACCTGGCTAATTTTTGTATTTTTAGTAGAGATGGGGTTTTACCAGGTTGGCCAGGCTGGTCTCAAACTTGTGACCTCAGGTGATCTCCCCTCCTCAGCCTCCCAAAGTGCTGGGATTACAGACATTAGCCACCACGCCTGGCCTTTACCAAACATTTAAGGAAAAAACTATATTAATTCTCTGCAATCTTTTTTGGCAAACAGAAGCAAAGAGAATACTTCCCAACTTACTCTGTGAGGCCAGCATTATCCTAATACCAAAACCAGGCAAAGACAAGGAAACTGTAGACCCATAGCTCTTGTGAACATAGATGCAGAAGTCCTTAACAAAATATGAGCAGATTATATCCATCTATGCAGAAAAAGAATTTCATACCATGACCAAGAGAGATTTAGCCCAGGTGCACCAGGCTGATTCAGCATTCAAAATCAATTATTGTAATCGATCACATCAACACCTGCTCGTGCTAAAAATAACTCCCAGCCAACTAGGAATAGAAAGGACCTGAAGGAATATCTGCAAAACTCTACAACAACCATTATACTTAATGCTGAAAAACTAGAAGCTTTCCTGCTAAGAGTAGGATCAGGGTAAAAATGTCCCCTCTTGCATCTTTTCTTTATCACACTAGAAATCTTAGCTAATGAAATAAGAAAAGCAAAAGAAGACATAAAGTTTGGGAAGGAAGTCAAAATTGTCTTTGCTTGCGTGTAAGGTGGTTTGTCCATGTAGACAGCCTGAAAGATCTGACCAAAAGCAAAACTAACAAAAACAACTCGGAACTAGTAAGTGACTGTAACAAGGTTGTAAGGATCTAAGGTTAATATGCGAAAGTTCATCACTTTTCTATGCACCAGCAATGCACTAGTGGGATTTGAAATTAAAACAATGCCATTTACATTCGTATCCACAAATGAAATACTTGTAAATCTAACAAAGTATGTATAAGGCCTATAGAGGAAAACTACAAAACTCTGATGAAAGAAAATTTAAAAGGAACTAAATAAATGGGAAGATACTTCATGTTTATGTATAGGAAGACTCAATACTGTCAAGATATCGGTACTTCCCAAATCAATCTGTAGATTTAATGTAATTCCACTCAAAATCCCATCAAGTTGTTCTGTAATAGTCAAACTGATTCTAAAGTTTATATGGAGAGGCAAAAGACCCAGAATAGCCAACACAGTATTGAAGGAGAAGAAAAAAGTTGGAGGACTACTGACCCTACCTAACTTTAAGACTTACTATAAAGCTATAGTAATCAAGGCACTGTGGTTTTGGTGAAAAAACAGCCTAGAAATGTCAACCCACTGAAATATACAGTCATCCTTCAACATCCATGGCAGGGATTGGTTCCTGGACTCCCCATGGACACAGATGCCCAAGCCCCTTATATAATATGGTGCAGTATTTGCATATAACCCACATCCTCCCAAATGCTTAAGTCATTTCCAGATAACTTATTGCAATTTAAATAGTATGTAAATAATTGTTATACTATATTTAATGACAGTAACACAGTATAATACGTTAATAATAATGTCATTAGTGGAATAATGACAAGGAAAAATAGTGTCAGTACAGATGCAACCATCCATTTTTTCCCAAATATTTTCTATTCATTGTTGACTGAATCTATGGATGTGGAACCCACAGATAACAGAGAGTTGACTGTATTCAACTGACCTTTGACAGAGGAGCAAAGAAAATAAATTTTAAAAAGATCCTCTTTTCAACAAATGATGCTGGAACAACTGGACATCTATCCACATGCAAAAAAAAAAAAAAACAAAACAAAACATGAATCTGGACATAGACTCTCCTACACCCTTCACAGAAATTAACTCAAAATGATCACAGACCTAAATGTAGAATGTAAGCTCTAAAACTCCTAGAAGTTACACTAGGAGAAAATCTAGATGACCTTGCATGTAGCAATGGCTTTTCATATACAACACAACATGAAATTCATGATCCATGAAAGCAATAAATGAAAAGCTGGACCTCATTGCAATTTAAAACTTCTCTGTGAAAGACACTTTCAAGAAGAGAAAACAAGCCACACATTGGGAGAAATATTTGCAAAAGTTATATCTGATAAAGGACTGTTATCTAAAAAACCCTTAAAACTCAACAATACAGAACAAATACCCAGTTTAAAAATCAGCAAAAGACCTGAACAGACACCTCATCAAAGCAGATATGCAGATGGTAAATAAACACATGAAAAGATAGTTAACATCGCATGTCAATAAGAAATTGCAGATTAAAACAACAATGAGATAGCTTTATACACCTGTTATAGGACCAAGATCCAAAACACAGACAATACCAAATGCTGACAAGGATGTGGAGCGTCAGGAACTCTCAGTCATTGCTGATAGAAATGCAAAATGGTACAGCCACTTTACACGGCAGTTGTAGATTTCTTATAAAATTAAGCAGATTCTTACATACAGTTCAGCAGTTGCGCTCCTTGTTTGAAAACTTACATCCACATGAAAACCTTTGCATGAATATCTACAGCAGCTTTATTCATAATAGCCAAAACTTGAAAGCAGTCAAGATGTCCTTCAGTAGCTGAAACGGTTAAATAAACTCATATCTAGACAGTGGAATACTCTTCAGCACTAAAGAGAAATGAGGTATCTATGAAGCCGTGAAAAGACATGGAGGAAACTTAAATGCACACACCAGGTGAAAGATGCTGTTCTAAAGAGGCAGGATGCTGTGTGATCCAACCATGTGACCTTCTGGAAAAAGGAAAACTACAGAGCCAATGGAAAGCTCAGTAGTTAAGAGGAAGAGAGGGAGGAATAGGCAGAGCACAGGGGAATTTTAAAGCAATGAAACTCTTCCGTATAATACTGTAATAGTGGATACATGTCATTATACTCTTGCCAAAACTCATTGAACATACCCCACCACGAGTGAAGCTTCATATAAACTATGGATTTTGAGTGATAATGAAGTGTCAGTGTAAGTTCACTGATTGTAACAGATGTACCACTCCAGTGGAGGATGCTGATGAGGGAGAGGATATACGTGGGTGGGGACAGGCAGTGAAGGAGAACTCTACTTTCCACCCAATTTTGCTTTGAACCTAAAACTGTTCTGATAAATAGACTGTTTTTTAATGTTATGTGCGGAAGGATTTACCTGAGAAAATACTTACAATATATTATTGATTTTCAATAATTATTAAACAATTTCTCTTCCTTGGTGTTGTTTTTCTCTGCCACTGGTCTTTACCTGTGTTTTGTTTGTTTTGGTTTTTGAAACAGGGTCTTGCTCTGTCATGCAGGCTGGAGTGCAGTGGTGTGATCATAGCTCACTGCAGCCTCAAACTCCCAGGCTCAGGTGGTCCTTTCACCTCAGCCTCCTGAGTAGTTGGGACCACAGGCACATGCCACCATGCCTAGCTAATTTTTTTCTATTTTCCTTAAAATATGAAAATAGGGAGACAGTGTCTCCCTATGTTGCCCAGGCTGGTCTCAAACTCCTGGCCTTAAGCAGTCTTCCCACCTTGCCTTCCCAGCATGCACTTCTCTGTTTCATTCACAACCCTTACCCTACCTCCTAGTACAGAGCCTGGCATATTGTAAAAAAAATAAACAAATAAGCAACAGTAATAGTTTAATACTGAAATAATATATTTAATGACGTGTTGGGTGCTGTTCTAAGTACTTTACATATATATCTACTCATTTAAACTTTGCAACTTTGAAGTAAGTATTTATTCCCAGTTTACAAATGGAGAAACTAAGACACCAGGAGGTCAAGCAGCTTGCCCAGATTTACGTTGCTAGTAAGTGGTAGAAATGGAATTTGACCCCAGGCTGTATGACCTGAGTGTTTGCTCTTCATCTGTTTATACCACCTTTCCTTAGAAGGCAGTCCACAGTATTTTTGATTGAGTGAATGAATGAGTAAATGAATATGAGTGAGAGAATGAAATGAAAAGGCAACTCTTAATATAGTATTACTAGTCCATTTTTATTTTAAAATGTATCATGTACAGTATCCAAATTTTCATTATTACTAAGAGATCATAAATTGTAGTAAAGTCACACAGTGGAATATTATTTAGCAATGAGGAAAGCGAGTTACAACTACACATAGCAGTGTGTATGATTCTCGTGAGCATAATGTTGAGCAAAAGAAGCCAGACCCTAAAGAGTATCTGTTTACTGTTCCATCTATACCAAGGACAAAAGAGGCACAAGTAATGTGTGCCATTAGAAGTCAGAATGCTGGGAACCCTCGGAGAAGCTGGAAGGGCACCACGGGGGGCTTTTTGGAAACAGGATTGTTCTCCCCTTTATCTGGTGCTGGTTACACGGGTGTGTTCAATTTGTAAAATTTATTTCAGCTATACACGTATATCTGCAGTTTTTTTGATTGGTAAATTCTACTTTAATAAACAGCTCTTTAAATGGCTAAGTTAGAAAAAAGCATCAAAAAGATAAACAGGAGTTTAAAAGTATATTTGCCCAAAACATTAATTAACTGTAGATATTTTTTGGAAGTAGTGCTATGAGTAATTTTCAGTTTTATTTTTGAGAACTCTTAGATTTTTCAGATATAATAAAATTGTCACGTATTAGCTGTGTAATTTGATTTCTAAAATGTGATTAAAATGAACTTGCCCCACAATTGACCTATGCTCCCGCTCAGCATGCGTTGGGCACATGGGTGTTGGCCCCTGATGGGTGATAACAGGGACACCAGCCCACTGGCTACCTTGCTTGCCCTCTTGCTTTAGTCACAGTCTTTCAAGCCTCATAGGACGTTCAGGGCTTTCTAATCAGTGTTTTGTGTTTGTCTTACATTTTTATTCCCTTTTTCAGGCTGAACAGTCAAAAGAAGAGCAGAAGCAAGGTTTGAATGCAGAGAAATTGATGAGGCAAGTCTCCAAGGACGTGTGTCGGCTCCGGGAGCAGAGCCAGAAGGTGCCTCGGCAGGTGCAGTCCTTCAGGTGAACGGCCCCATCCAGGACAGCTTTTGCATTGTCCTCACGTGGTCTGGTTTTGTAGGAAGTCTCCTCAGTGCAGCGAAAGTTAGTATTAGGATCTGTGAGAGAAATCCTCTGTTTCCCACTTTGAATATATAATTTTCCCTTTGCACCTTCCTGAGGTGATAAATGGGACTGGCAGAGTTAAAGACTGGTGAAAGCCTAACTGCCCCCAAGAACCCAGGGTGTCCGCAGCTCTTAGCATATCTCACTGGGCTATCTTCACACAGGATACAAAGGTACAGAAAACCCAGATATCTTTGGAGTTTTTTTCACTCATTTTAAAGGCATTCCTTGGGCAGCCCCATAAGCCTTGCACCGTGTCAGGCTCTGAGATGCGGAGGCTAAGAACGTATGTGTTCTGCTTTTCTGGGGGGGGCTCTGGGCTGTAGCGAAGACAGGTGGGTAACCAGGTCATTCAGTGCATGTGGAAAGAGCTAACTAAAGGTATAGGTCGGGATCTGTGAGAGATGAGGGAGGAGCCTCAGTTTGTGTGGGGCAGGTGCTGGGGCTGTGGGCGCCAGCAGGAGAAGGTTATAAGGGAACCCATCATGAAAGGGTGGCTGTGAGTTCCTTAGGCACCTAGAGGTGGCAGTTTGCAGTGGGACATTGAGGCAAGAAGAAAAGCACTGAGAGGCACAGACCTTAGAAGTCACCCCAAGGTCTGTGGCGCGTGGGGAGTTGCCAGCTGGTGAGCCGGCCTGGGAGAGCTGGGCTCACACTACACAGGCCTTGGATGCCGTGCAGGCTTCCACCTGTGGTACCAGATTCTGGGGAGCCAGCTGGGCTTTCACTACTCAGAAGGAAATGATGGGGTTGGGCTCTGTGTGGGGCAGATGTCAGAGGCATTGTGGAGAGTGAGTGGGGAGAAATGGGTAAGGATGCCCAGTTAGGTTCATGGGAGGTTCATGGTGGGAGTGGTTGCCCTGTGATACCAGCACTCCAGATGGAGAGCGCTGAGGACCATGGGTATGAGGACGATGCTGACCTCTGCTGTGGGCACACCAGGCAATGCCAGCAGGCCAGCGAGGTAACCATGACCAGTAGACAAGTGGGAGTAAAAGTCTAAAGCCGGGGTTAGGGGTCAGTATGGAGATTTTTAAATGGGAGTGCTCATCCTCAGTTCGTGGTCCCACCAATGGAAATGGGGCAGACATCCCAGAAAACGTGAAGGTGACGGAAAGGAGGCCTGGTGGGCACACCCCGAAAGGATACTAGAAGGAATGGCTGGAGGGGTCAGAGGAGAACCGGGGGCCTGGGGCCGAGGGCAGGGAGAGGAGATGGGTGGAGAGAACTGAAAAGAACACTCGGGATCTGAGCACACCAGGGATGGTTTCAGTCCCGTCGGAGGGAGCTCAGCAGAAAGGTTTGCTCATGCTGAGTTTTGATGTGGTTTTGGTTGGTTTTGTATAGATGCATCTTTGGAAAGCATTTAGGCATAAGCAGAAGCCCAGAAGAAGAGAGTGTTTTTGAAGTCTGGGGAAGGTGGGTCACATGGTGGAGCTGGGACACCTATGGCTGGCAGGCTGGGGTCCAGTGCCAGGCAGGAGGGCAGGGTGACACACCATGCGGCCACGGCAGGGTGCCTTAGTAGGCTCACAGCTCTTTCATTTTTATGTGACATCTTGTAGTAGAGAGGTTCTTCCACCCTCTTTTCTGCCAAAGAACCACATTTGTGACTTTTAATGAGCGCTGCTACTTGGGTTTTAGAACTGCAGGTGAGGGGAGTCCATTCATGCCTTCGGTGCTGTGGTCGCCTTGAGAGTAAGCCGCATTGACTAGTATGGAAAGTCACACAACTGGCAGTTGTTACTGAAACCCAATGCAAAGAATCCACGAACATTTCCCAGCTTCTCTTAGGATCCAAAGCCATTATGTCACCAGGCAAGTGATGAGGATGATGAGATGGACCACAGTAGAAAGACCGCGCTGGCGGCACAACGGCCTGTGCGAGGGATTTGCACAGTTGCCATTGCCTGGCCTGGGGGGTGAGAGACTGGGCAGTGGTGGGGTCTGGGGCGTTCTGCCCAGCACCACCCCAGCCGCTTGTTTCACCCGGAATCAGGAACACGATGGTCTCTGGCCTTCTTACTTTTCAAGAGAAGTTAGAAATCAAGAATTTGATGTGAAGTATCTCACATGCAGGCACTGGCAGCTCACTCAGGCATCTTTAACACCCCGGTTGCCAGCTGCACCTAAGGCCTCCAGTGGCATCATGCCCACACTCTTGGCGTGTTTCGTTCTTGTTTCCCTCTTACGGAATTGAGCAAATGTCAAGGACACTGTTCACAACAGTAGCTCATTCCAGTGTCCACAGTGATTTCACTCCTCGTTTTCTTCTCTATCCTTTCTTAGTTTTCGAAACACCCGCCTCAGCTCTGGTTTCTAACCTGCACCTCCTCCTCCTCCTCTGGACTGTTCTTTCACAAGGGCGGCCCAGTGCTTTATTCTTCAGCCGCCAATGTGCCCCTTGCATGTAATATGCCCTCAGGAAATATGTGCTGATGGCATGTCATGTACAGTGTGAAGTTTTGTAGGAAAATAAACACGCTGTCTTCTTTTCTTTTTTTTTTTTGAGTATGCTCGTCACTTGAAAACCACTCTGCCCTTCCTCAGCTTCTCCTGTGCTTTGGGACGAGGGCAGTTACTGCCTTTCAGAGAGTAAATTCCTCCCCTCCTTTCACTTGTGTTGTGCTGTCACTCATCAGATGGTGCCTGCCTCGGCATGGTATTAATTGTAGAGATTTTCCCAGTATTATGTACTTGCCTGTGAGGTTACTGAAAAGTTTCCATGTAGGGTTTTGGGCCTTTTGAGCCCTCTACTGCCTAGTTTGGAAACACCTATCTGAGACCAAACCCCTACTAGTTTAAAAACTGTCTCCTGTAGGAAGTTCCCTAAAGGGAACTCACTGGCTTGGTCTGTGGGTGACTCTGTGAGCCAGAGCTGTTCTCCTTGATACCCTACCGTTAGCAGGCAGGGGCTCTCTGGATTTCAAATGGAGTTTTGCTTAAGGAATAAAGCTCCTCTCGGCCTGTGCCTGTAGAGACATCACTGCCACTGTGGGTCGTGGGGATTGTTGTGATGGTCCTAGATTATTTTTAGCATCATATGTAAGTCAATTTATTTCTCACCCCAAATCTAGGGAGAAGATTGCCTACTTCACCAGAGCAAAGATAAGCATCCCGTCCCTGCCGGCTGATGATGTGTGATTACATGGCTTAAGAAATGGTTTTTCATCTGTTCACTTTCTTAGGGAGGGTGAAAAACTGAAGATCTGTTTGTTTATTGTTTTGTTTTTGGTAATACGACCGTCAACTCTTGAAGAACTTCTATTTCACATTAGATTTTCAACACGTTAATTTGTAAAATACCTTGAGTGTAACTTTTATATGCTTAAAAAAGAAAAAATTGATAAGAAAAATGGGATAATCTGATACACAAATGTTGCCCAGTATGTACGCATTGCCAGTGGGCTTTCTTTTGTAAAAATGGAATCTAGGCAGGACCCCACGTGTGTACCGTTGAGCCGACTGGAGAGAGAACTTGGTTTAGCAGGTAGTTTTGCTTCTCCTTTGCGTTGCTGTGAGTAGGCTGCGCCAATGGCAGCAGTGCCATGTGCACTAGCAAGGAGAGGAGCTCCTTCCATTTGGAGAGCAGTGTGAGCATGAGCTGGAGTGCAGCGTTCCAAGTCCATTCAAAGTGGGTGGTGCGTTCATGGCCATCACCTGTGCAGGAACACCTGATTTTCTTAAAACAATTTCCTTTTTGTCCTTTTGTATTTTTCTAAAGAAAACTAAAATATAAACTACCCAATGCTCTTAAGAATATAAGAGTACAAAGCAGCACTGCTCTTGGCTACACTAAAGATCTTGGGATTCATGACACTGGGGGCAGGGAGAAGAAAGAACGCCGGCCATGCAGAGACACACGCAATAAGTTCATCAAATGGGCAGCTGCTTTCTCTCACTCAGCCTGACTTTGCGTAAGTGTTCAAATGTGAGTTTCTGGCTTGCACCAGTGGTTTGTCCTAAGTCTAAGCATGGTGCCAAGTGGTGGCCCTGTGTTCTGAGGACAGAGGGAGCTAGAGGTGTGGAGGGAAGCGCATCAACACTCATTTGGTGTGACCAAGAAGAGAGGAAATGATGTTTTGATAGAATCATAGTTGCCAAAAACAAAAAGGAGTTTATCAAGCAGATTTCTAACATTTAGTAGAAATTACTTCATAGCTCTCATTTTTAGGGGATTTGATGTATAATTGATGGCAAATAGTTGGGAGGCAAAGGGAAGAATGTGCCTGGGGGGATTATTAATGTGAAGAATAAGCTAAGTTGTTTATAAAAAAGACGATTTTGGATGAACAAGTTTAGAGATAGAAACTGACTGATGTGTCTTCCAGTTTAGAATTTCAGCTTACCCAACCCAGGCACGTCTTAAAAACACAGATCCTCAGTGCAGCTCTGACAGCGTCAAAGCTTTTAAAATAAATAGTATTTAGGCCATTTAAACCATACTTATCACTCAGAAACAATTTTGGGCTAGCCGTCTAACATAGCAAATGGAATCAATTTTTTTAAGAAATGCAAAATTGTCTTCAAGGTATGGACCTCTTAAAGAAAAAAAAATGTGTTCCTAAGAATGCTCACTAGCAAGAATTTTTATTTTCTTGAAAGCAATTATATGTGTTTTGGAAAGTTCATGTTACTGGAATCAAAGTTCAAATTAAGCAACTTCTGAGCCTAGAAATTTATTTTTTCCTAAATGTCCCACCACTTAATACAGATTTCTCTGAAGACATAACTGGACTGAAGAAAAATGGGATAATCTGATTCACAAATGTTGAAAGACACTACTTTCAACAAAAACCAGCCTTGGGAATTGACGGCACAGTCCTGTAAGGCTGCTCAGTTCATTCTATTAGATGACTAAGGAAAGCTAGAAAAAGAACACAGTTCACCCTTGTCAAGGTCAAATGTGAAAGGCAGAAGTTTATTTAACTTAGAGGTAAATGAAGGCGCGCTGTTTCCAGTCTCAGTTTGACCATGAAAATATCTATAGAGTTATGTGTAGTTGTTCCGTACAGTTTTATTTTCTTCATTTATTTATTTACAGTCTTATTTATGTCCTGTTTAATATATAGTTTGATTCTGGCCATTTTAAGTATTTGACACAGAAGAGACTATATTGGAATATTTACAGCTTTATAAGTCTTTGATCAGATAAGCTGTTGACTTTTTGTAATACAAAAGGTTCAGACAGGTATTAAAGAATAAAATCTGTCTCAGGCCGGTAGTTAGCAGTTGTGACCAAGATGCTTTTGGTTGTTGTATTTTACAAAATTTCCTCATTTCTAACATGAGAGATGACCTTATTTTAATATAATCCCTTTTCTACACTTTACAAGTCAGCAATAGTGTTATGTATTTACAGGCAGCTTTTAATAATCTTGTCATATTTGTACTAACCCAAATGATCACAGTGAAAAAACATTTTCATAACTTGATCACAAAACCATATGGACAAATATGAATTTTAATATTATAAATACTATTTTTAAAAGGTAGAATTTATTCACACAGGGTAAAAAGAATGTAATATTTAGTTCTCAAGTTTGAATTATCAGCATATTATTACAATTTTGTATATCAGAATCTTAAGTGTTACAGGTACAAAAAGAATATTGCTAGCCAAATAAAGTTTAGCGGAATCTCTGTGGCATGCAAATCAAATTAGTTAAATTTTGTTGCTATTGCTTTATCTATATTGTCTTAACTACCAAAAGCTCAGGACTGAACTAAACATTTAATCAGGTTAAATTCTGTCTTAATTGTCTTGTTTGTAAACGTATGCAAATACATCACATACATTAACTTTGGTTTCTGCACTTTCCATGTGTTTGTGGGTGGAAAAAAACTCAGTGGGTTTTTTGAAAAAACAAAAAACAAAGATACATATTGTCTAACACTCTATTTCAGTGTCGTTTATTGTTCAGTTTCTTTCCCTGATTGGCACAAATACAAGAATTTCCTTGAGCTATGTACCAAGCAAATACAAAATATTTCATGAAGAAATCCCCAGGCCAGCAGTTTGTGATGAATAGCTCTTGTTGGAACTATGTGTATCGCTGATAAAAAAGGATGAAGTATTTTCATTGTGCAAATAAAATGAAGGGCTCCGGAATATGTGCTCTGTTGTCGCACCGTCTGGGCTGGCGGTGCGCTGCCCTGTGCGGCAGCCCTCCCAGGAGGTTCTCCGCCCGCACACCTGGCCTGGCCTGGCCTGCCGTGCGCCCCCTAGGCTGCAGGGCTGGGGAAGCCAGAAGTGCTGCCTGTCAAGTACAGAGCACAGGACGCAGAAGCAGGATTGTGCGGCCCAGTCTAGGTGAGTCATCCAAAACACAAGGTCACCCTCCTGCTTCTGACATAGTAAAGAAGGCATGATTGAAGGTGCCTGCCTTTTGAAAAAAGGCTCCGTGGAGACACTGAGATCTCTGACTCTGAAGGAGATGTGTCTACGCCTTTTACTTCTAAAGCTTTTAAAGGGCCAATGATGATTTTATATAATAAGATGTCATGCATTTTAAATAAATATGCAACAGGACCTCAGGTTTATCGTACTAGGTTACCTTAAGCACCTGAAAGAAGTACATGAATGCCACAGTGATTCAGCTCCGTGGGAATAATACCTTCAGAGGCACGTAAGGTTGATTTAACGCTTTATTTACCACTTCTATGCAGTCACTATTTTACAACCGAGAAAACTTATCCACGGTAACGCGTGTCATTACTATTAAGCCTTGATTGGTTTTGGTCTCAGAATAGAAGATAAAAGGGGTTCACCAGTCCTAGAAAGAAATTATAGTTTACTAGCCACAGGAAAAAATGCATTTTAGAAAATCAGAAGCATAGTGAGATGGCAATAGTGGGAAATCCTACCAAATCCAGTGTTGAGCTGGCTCCTCCTGCACAGCAGACGCTGGTCGTTTCTGGCTTAGTTTTTCAGGTTGGTGTTTCTCGTCTCCAGTTGCTGATGATCATCTTGCATTTGCGCCACTGCATAGTGGCCCGAAGCTAGGGGAGCGTGGCTGGAGCAGGCTGCACAGTTGAGCAGACACCCTCCTAGTACAAGAGAAAGTCCAGCAAACCAGCCCAGAAAGAGGGCCTCCCCAAACTCCCACCTGGGGACGATGTCTGGGATGGTCTCATCCCAGAACTCCTGTACCGTCGTGTGGGCAACCCAAGAGACAGGAACCAGGGCTGAGATTCCCGAGCTCCAGGACAGAATTCCTCCCAGGATTAGCAGTCGCCTCTTGAGATCTCTCTGACTCTCTCCAATTCTCAAACAGTCCAGGCCAAACCCGGACACCAGCAGGCCCAGAAATCCCAGCCCATTTGACAGAAACATTAAGATCCTGGAGATCCTGAGTTCAGCAGGCAAAGCCAGGAAGGAGTCAAAGGCCTTGCACTGCATCCCCGCTTCCTCTTGGATGACACAGGTTTGCCAGAGTCCCATGGTCCAGTTTTCCATTTCATTTAAGTCCAGGTTGAGGTTCTTCCAGTGTGGCAGGTAGTTTGTGAGACAGGATAAAACCCATCCCAGCAAAGATAATGAAACTCCAGCTAGTTGAGCCGCAGTTCTAAATACTAAAGCCATTATAATATCCCGAGAGCTTTGGCCAAACTAACACCTGCCCTTCGGTTGCTGTGAAAAGAAGTGTGACACTCGCGTTATAACTTATGAAACTCAGAAATATTTCTTCATTGTGTATATAGGAGGATTCTTGCCAGAGTTGCTATTGTTTGATTCCATGTTGAATGGGTTTAGAAAAGGATAGGGAAATAATGTTGCAAACCAGTAATGCCAAGGTGTGGCCGAGATCATGTTTGTGTCCCGTGGGCTGGATTTTTCAGAAAGCAGTTTGTCACTGAAATGTAATTAGGTGATAATAATCCTTTCACGGTTAAGGTAAAAGTGGCTTTCGTGTTATTCCCAACCTTTCTAAGGGTCAAAGAATGAAGAAGTCTAAATACGAAATGTTTAACTGATGGTTTTGCTTCAGCTCCTCCTGCTTTGTATCTAATTGCACCTGTCAGATTTTCATCTCTTTATAGTTCTCACATTTTAAATGTGCATGTTATGGTAAGACTGTTATTTTTTTTTAAAATAAGTTCAAGGAAAGTCTTTCTTAACCAAATAAATCAATCTTACCAGAAACCTCTCTACACCTGAACTCAGGCCTGTGTTTTAGAAATTCCTCAGGCTACATGTACCGCATGGCATATGAAGCAACCCTGAACTACATAGCTAGCTTATTTATCTGCATGCCTTTCTGTCTCGTTCATGCTTGTGTGCATAAACACTTTTTTTTCCTTATATATGCTTTCTTTGCGGAAGAAAAAATTAAGCAGTAGGATTGTAGGTTAGAGTCAGCATTTCTGTTTATTCCCCACTGAAGTACATATCCCCATGTTAGTAAGTTTTCATTCAGATGACCTGAGAATTTCTGGATATCAAGAAAAAATATCTTTGGAATTGTTTTTCTTTTTTTAATATGAAAGTTTTGAGGGAAAGGATGAGGGAAGAGATTAGTCAGTATTTTGAATCTGAGAGTATCAGAAGGTTCTGAAAACCTTTCAGCCTCATAAAATCTTGTCGCACTGAGTGCCTGGTAATATCCTAAACACAAACCGCTCCTGTTTGAAGAAGAAAAAGGTCACTGTTGTGGAAATAACACTTTGGGGTTGCTTAGCATGTGGTCTTGCTCATGTAGAACACTTCAGAGTTTTCAGACTGTTCGCTTTTTTTTTCTTTAGGAAACAAACTAATGATCATTTCTATCTAACAATAACAACAAAAAACGGAAAAGGCTTTCTAATATGAAATTTACACATTAAAGCTTGAAACTGACTATATTGGACAGCCACCACATTTTGATTTCAATAACCAGATCAATTAAGCTCATCTCACTTCTACCTATGTAATGCTTACCATAATCATTTTCTTTCAGACATAAGATTTTCCTTCATTATTCTCCAGATTTTAGGGGGCAGTGGGCCTACCTATTGTAGAAAAAATGGTTACTGAATGAGAAAACGTGAGCATCACAGATTTAGCTATAAAACAAAGATGTCTTTGTCATCACAGTTGATATAGGATACATCTCCTGCCTTGTCGAAGTCTTACACTTGAGGATCTGCAGTTCCATCTTCCAGGTAAGGACACTGAGTTTGCATTTGCACCACTGCATAGTGGCCCGAAGCTAGGGGAGCGTGGCTGGAGCAGGCTGCACAGTTGAGCAGACACCCTCCTAGTACAAGAGAAAGTCCAGCAAACCAGCCCAGAAAGAGGGCCTCCCCAAACTCCCACCTGGGGACGATGTCTGGGATGGTCTCATCCCAGAACTCCTGTACCGTCGTGTGGGCAACCCAAGAGACAGGAACCAGGGCTGAGATTCCCGAGCTCCAGGACAGAATTCCTCCCAGGATTAGCAGTCGCCTCTTGAGATCTCTCTGACTCTCTTCAATTCTCAAACAGTCCAGGCCAAACCCGGACACCAGCAGGCCCAGAAATCCCAGCCCGTTTGACAGAAACATTAAGATCCTGGAGATCCTGAGTTCAGCAGGCAAAGCCAGGAAGGAGTCAAAGGCCTTGCACTGCATCCCCGCTTCCTCTTGGACGACACAGGTTTGCCAGAGTCCCATGGTCCAGTTTTCCATTTCATTTAAGTCCAGGTTGAGGTTCTTCCAGTGTGGCAAGTAAGTTGTAATAATGGATAAAACCCATCCCAGAAAAGATAATAAAAGTCCAACAAATTGCATCGCTATCCTAAAGATTAAAGCCATTGCCGAAAGTCTTAGGACTTTACTGCCCCGATAGGAGCTGCTGTCTTTTGCAGTGGACAGTAATGTGACAATCTTGGTTCTATGCTGCCTGGAATATAAGCTGTGGTCGTTAACTCTTTGGGCACTCTGAAATGCGTTTTTGTTCTTCTTGAATATAATGTTTCATGTAAAGGACGAAGGACTCTGTTAAAACTATGAGTTAGGCTTTCTGATAAGGACTTGATCTGTTACCTTCCAATTTGCTTGGTAAAATTATATCCCCAATGCTTGATGGTTATAAGTCTAAGGATGAACAAAGAGGGCTCTATGACCCCTCACCCTAAAATACAACAGAAATCTTTGTGCTTCAATATGGATTAATTAGATTTTAAGTGGTGATAAAAGACCAGCTCTTTCTACAACAGGACTTCATTGTAAGAGCTGAATCTGAGATTTCAGGGATGCAAAACAAGGCCTTGTAAAGAAAGGTAGACTGTTTCCTATAATCTCTATTCTTCTCAGACTTCCTTAACCTACACAAGAGCCTGGCCCATGTCCTCGAGTGTCGCAGGAGCTCAGTAGGACTTGGCAGGAAGGTTCCTCAAGAGTCCTTTGAAAGGTAGAGGCTGGCTTATGGGGCTGATTAAAATGAAAAGGACCGAGGCTGATGCCAGGGGCTACTGAATGAGGAAGGGAATGTCCCGGGAAGTTCCAGCATTCACTCTGGTTTTCTCTATCCTTGTTAAGGACGTGGGGGTACAGCATGATGTCTCAGCGTCCACGGAGGTGTTTTTTGTCCACAGCTGAAGCTGTCCCCATTGTCATTTCAGCAGCCTACACAGAGCAACACCAGCTTCAAAACTCCTGCCACGTCCCAGACAAAAGTCTCTGGTACAAACACAATAGTCACAATGGGGCTGAGCTTTGAGGCTTCATCTTGTTTATTTTTTTGGTTGAGGCCACTCCTTGAGAGCATACTTCTGCAGAGGGTGACCCCTCAGAGAACACAGGGCTGGCCTCACAGGCCAGGACAAGAGGTCACCTGCCCCAGATTCCCAGGGCTGCACCGTCTCCTCACTGCGTCTCCTCTCCCCTGGGCATCCTGCACCGGCTCCGAGGAGATAAAATCAGATGGGCCCACAGGACGGAAAGGTCTCTAAAGGTGGAGCCACTGCCCTGGGAGGTTCTAACCTGGAGAAATGGAACCACTGCCCCTCACGTTGCAACAGTTAAGTGGAGTCCGGGATCAGAGATAATCTTATGGTGTCTCCCGGAGATCGGAGAGACAGAGCCTGGATCCCGATGTATCCAAATTACTTTGGATAAGATTGCCTAAGATTTGGATTTGGAGTGGTACTGTCTTCCTTAATTTTTACAAGTTTTCAGAATGCCTGAGGATATACTGGTGCCCTCACCATCCTGAAATAAGTCATTCCAGGGTGCACAAATATCCAGAGGGCCAGAGACCTGTGTGGGGCCTCATCACCAGTGGGCGGGATGTGGCAAGCTAGAGCTCTCTTCCAGGAGGCACTCAGGGCGGTGGAAGGCCTAGAGAGCAGGCATGTAAGGTCACAGGGAGATGATCCTTAATATCACATTGAAACAGTTTTTGAAAACCTAATGGAGTAGGCTGCTCTGTGACATGGTGAGCTCTCCCTGCTCTAGGCATCTAAGCCACAGGTTCTCACCTGCCAGGGTTATCACAGAGGGGATTTCTGCTGTGGTGGGACTTGGGCCTACATCACCTCTTAGCACTCCCCAACTCATTTATTCCTTCAGCATTAAAAAAAAATATGTTGTGAGCCCCTCCTGCCAAGCAGGCACTGAGTGCTGAACAGTATGGATTCGACCCCTCCCCTTTGGACTCACCTTTGCTCAATGGGCCATCAGGAAACAAGAGGGCTGAAAGAAGTCAGAAGAGCTGGGGTGTGAGTGTTGCAGACAGACGCGCAGATGCAGCAGCCCTGAGGCAGACACCTGGGCAGGAGTGGAAAGCCTGAACACAGTCTGGATGCGGTGCTGGGAGGCTCCCACTGGTTCCCACCCCCACGTTTCAGTTCCTGAATCAGCTGCTGAGACAGGTTGCTCACAGAGCGGGGGTGCAGTGAAATTTGGACAGCAGACATAATTGTCACCACGTTGTGCAGGGTGTGGGGGCTCCATTGTGTCTGTCTCAGGACTGTTCATCTACAGTATGGGGGTAGACACACGTATCTCAGAAACAGAACTGGAGAAGTCAGCAGACTGATGGAAGCTTAGAGTGACCACCATCCCAGTTTGCCCAGGACTGTCAGGATTTTAGTCCTCAAAGTCACCCATCCTGAAGAACGCCTCAGTCCAGGGCAAGGGTTGATAAACATCCCGTAATAAGCCATCCCAAAACTTAGGCACTAAAACAACAATAATTTCTCATTTCTATGTGTGTGTGTGTTTTTTTTCTTGAGACGGAGTCTTGCTCTGTCACCCAGGCTGGAGCACAGTGGTGTGATCTCGGCTCACTGCAGACTCCGCCTCCCTGGTTCAAGCAATTCTCCTGCCTCAGCCTCCTGAGTGGCTGGGATTACAGGCATGCACCATCGCACCCAGCTAATTTTTGTAATTTTAGTAGAGACAGGGTTTCACCCTGTTGGCCAGGCTGGTCTCGAACTCCTGACCTCAGGTGACCCACTCACCTCAGCCTTCTAAAGTGCTGGAATTACAGGCATGAGCCACTGCACCCAGCTGGCCATTTCTATGTATTTTGCTCATGAATGTGCAGCTTGGGACTCAGCAGAGACCACCTGTCTCCGCCCTGGGTGGCATCAGCCCAACTGGGGGCTGGAAGGTCCCGTTCCAAGGTGGGTCGCCCACAGGGTGGGCTACCAGCAGGGAGCTCAGCCTCTATTGTCATGTAGGGTACAAAAGCCACACAGACAAGACCACCTCAAGCCAAACTGTAGCCAGACTGCTGCTGTCAGCAGCCCCACCTCATCTGCTGGCAGTGGGAGCTGTGGACCCTGGCCTTGCAAGAGAGGGTTGAGGAAGGGCCAAGGTAGAGGCCCGAGATGTCCAGCAAAGGCTTTGGATTCTGAAGTCAGTGGAGAAGCCAAATCTTTCATTGTCAAAATTACCCTTTAAAAATTCCCTTAAGCACTGGAGTTCAATGCACATCTCTTCCCAAGCTGGGCTGGCTGGGGCCTTCTCTGACAATGGGCAAGTTTACTCTGGGTCCACAGGTTGAGCACAAAATGAAGAAGTAGGCTTGGTTTGGGGTCTTGTAGGAAGAGTATCTGCTGAATCTGAAGGCAGCAGACTCCAGCGAGGAGGGCACTGGGAGCACCTGGGACATCACAGGCTTTCCCGCCTCCCTTCTGCAGCACCCAGCGATGCTGCCAGGAAGAGCCTCCCTTTCTCCTAGCAGGCACAGGCCTCCCCGGCCCTTTGATACATAGGTGAAGATGAGGGATTCCTCTTGCCAAACATGATTTTATCTGATTAAAATAATGTGTTTTTTTTTTTTTTTTTGAGATGGTGTCTCGCTCTGTCACCGGGCTGAAGTGCAGTGGCGCAATCTCGGCTCAGTGCAACCTTCACCTCCCGATTCAAGTGATTCTCCTGCCTCAGCCTCCCTAGTAGCTGGGACTACAGGCGTGCACCACCACGCCCGGCTAATTTTTGTTTTTGGATTTGTTTTTGTTTTTTTTTTTCAGTAGAGACGGGGTTTCACCATGTTGGCCAGGATGGTCTCGATCTCTTGACCTTGTGACCCGCCCAGCCTCCCAAAGTGCTGGGATTACAGGCGTGAGCCACCGTGCCTGGCCTTAAAAGAAAATTTATAGTTTATTTTTTCTTAATATTTCTTATCCTACCAAATAGTGATTCACAGTACTAATTCTATTAAGCTCATTATTAAGGACAAGACATGCTGTTACCCTCACAACCCCACAACCCTCAAAGCACAATACCTTGTATCTACTATGTGTTCAACAAATATTTGTCTAATAAATGGATTAGAAGGATCCTTCTAAATGACAATGGAAGTAAATATAGAACGCCAACACTACAGATGCCATTCCCATTGCCAGTGGCTTTTCATCATGGTGACAAAGCCAGCTGTCCTGGAGTGTCTGAGCATGAGTAATGGACTTAAATAGAACTGAACTCACCACCCGCCTGGAGTGGGAGAGGAAGTATTGCTGAAGCCTCACACATTAGCGAGCAAGAGCGTCCCCTTCCAGAAGGGCATCAAGAGTGACATCTCTTATGTGCAGGAGAAAGACTAGACGGCTGAAGGCACCCCAGAATATTCACAGGGTGCTAGAAATGGATGCTTTTTTTCCTGGCTTTATTTTTATTTTCTGAATTTTCTACAAAGACTGTGCAGGACTCTCCTAAGAAAAAATGATATAAAAGGTAAAAAGATGATCTGCTGGACAAAATGAACTTTCTTTTGTCAGACTGTAATAATAGGTAACAATTCTCAAGAGCCTCTACCTATTGGGCACTGTTCTGAGACTTGAACAATCCTCACACTCACACAATGGGGGTACGTACTGAGTGCATCACTCTTACAGATGATAGGGCCAAGCACAGTGGGGCAGGTAACTTGCTCGAGTCATGGGGTCATTTACAGAGCCATGGAGGCAGCACCTCAGTTCCTTTCCCAGTGATGGTTTGGCTGTGTCCCCACCCAGATCTCATCTTGAACTCTCAGGTGTGTGGGAGGGACCCACTGGGAGGTGATTGAATCATGGGGGCAGGTCTTTCCCATGCTGTTCCCATGACAGTGAATAAGACTCAAGAGACGTAATGGTTCTTTAAGGGGGAGTTTCCCTGCACAAGCTCTCTCTCTCTTTGCCTGCTGCCATCCACGTAAGATGTGACTTGTTCCTCCTTGCCTTCTGCCGTGGTTTTGAGGCCTCCCCAGCCACGTGGAACTGTAAGTTCCTTAAGCCTCTTTCTTTCATAGATTGCTCAGTCTCAGGTATGTCTTTATCAGCAGTGTGAAAATGCATTAATACACCCAGAGAACAGAGGAACCTGGGGCTGGACCTCCGAGTCTATACTGCACAGTGTTGTTCCAGGCAGA